TGCAGGAGTCCTCCCTGTGTGCCCATAGGTCTCAGTGAGACTTATGGAAGGGGCAGGCAAGAGCAAGGAGGACACAGCAGAACAGTAAAGGGCGTGGTGCATAGAAAATTTGGCTAGGTTTGTGGAGAAAGGAAGAATGGAAGAGGAATTAGATGCAGGAAGGCAGGGAAAGTAGGTGATAGGCAGGGACTTTTAAAATTTCTGAAGCCAACAATATATATTATATCTGACCGACATTTGCATATATAATATTACATGCCTTGCATTAAGCGATGTGTTATTAGTTTACACACAACTTGTTAGCTACTCATCACAGCCTGCCTCAGAGGTTGTCAAAGGTCACAGAAGTAGCATTTAGGGCTTGACGACTTGAATAAAAAGTCTGTCTTCATCCAAATCTTATGTTCTATGGTAGGTGGCATTAGTTAACTAGAGCAGATAGATAATCAAGGAGAAGTTATCCAAAAATATCAACTACCTCCAAGAGGCTAGAATCCTAAGGAATGGTCCACATAGTGTACAAAGAAGCATAGCTTTTTGGGGGATGGAATTTTTAAAAAGCAAAGCTTTAAATGCTTCAATTTTACTGCTATATTAGAGTTTGATTGGAACATTAATCACACATTACGTCAAGAATACTTGAGTAAGTGTTTCTGGGACTACAGATGGCTGAAAGACTTTGAAATAAGGACCAAATGAGGTCAAGGTATGGGAGGTCATGGGGGATCGGAAAAATGTGCTTCTCTGTGTGTGTGTGTGTATGTGTGTGTGTGCATGTGTGTGAAATACAGAGGGAGAGGCAGAAGTAATGGTTAGAGGAAAGAAGTTGTATGTTTAAACTCATTCTTAGCTAAGATCATTTCTGTGGCTAGACGATGAACAGATATTTGTAGCAGACCACACACTCTCCACCTGCTCTCATATCCCACCCAGGGTGGATCTGAGAAGGACTTTTTGTTCATCTCTGTCTATTTTTCAGAAAGCAACTAGAGTAATCTTTCTTAACTTCCCTGCTTAAGCTCCTCTAACGGACCCCACTACACTCAATAAAATCCGAGCTCCTGCACACCTCGGGGGCCTGCATAACTTGAGCCTGCTCATGCTTTCAACTGCTTGCTCTGCATTTGAATGCAGAGACGTTTCTGCTGTGAAAGCCAAGGCCTGTCCTGCTGCAGGACCTTTGCGTATTCTCTTTTCTTTGCAGTGGTCGCTCTTCTCCACACTCTCCAAATGCTCTTTCTGACCACCACATCTTAGGTGAACTGCCCTTGTGGCTTATTATTTCACAATCATATTCTCTTGACAGCCTACTTACAATTATTATATGTACTGTTTTCTGACCATCATCTTCATTAAATTTTAAACTTAATTTGGGCAGGAACTATGTCTACTATATTCAGTGCCAAAGCATGTATCCATTTATTTAATAAATGCCTGTTCATAACAATGTCTTATTACAGCATTCAAGGTGCCAAATACTCTAACTCACAATAAGACCATACTAAAATAAAGCCATATGTGTGGCGATTTGATGAGGTCTCCCGATAGTTAGAAGTGATGACAGAGATTAGACAGCTCTGTCACCATAAAAGCAGTATTAATAGGTAATGTCTTTCATAAAGGGACAGATGTTTAAACATCTATGTTTTAGACATCTGCTTTGAAGTAAGAGTATGTGTATCTTTATCTATCAGTCTGTCTGTCTGTCTGTCTGTTTGTCTGTCTGTCTGTCTATCTATCTATCTGAGAGATGGAGAGATGGGTTACAGAGAAGGGCAGAGAGATGATAAGTTCTATAGACATTCAGATGAATAGAAATTTCAGGTAGTTGTCGATACTACATATGCATCTACTATATAGATACTGATATTTTAAAAAACTCTTTTCTAAAAATGAAAACCTAACCATTTTGAATACAGATACAAAATGGATATTCATCTGTATACCCCTTTTTTTTTGGTTAAGTTCTGTTATTTGAATATTATAGGTGTGTTAACTCAGGAAAATATTCTAAAAGAGTTCAGTAGTCCATAATAGTATTGGGTCTTCTGCTTCACTGGCAATGTCAGAAATTGTTGACCTGAGTCCCCTACAGCTCAACATAACACCACGGCTTTACTTCTTATACTTTGTTTTTATACTTTTCTGCTGGATGGTTAAGACCAAGGTAAAGCAGGACCTATGCAGCAAGAGTTATAGCTTTTGGGTCTGATAAGGTCAGTGAAATCCCCTCAGGATTTTTCCTGAGATCCTGTACCTCAGATTGTAGATCCTTTGTCAGTGTCAGCCATGTGGATGAGTCATGGCCATTGCTTGGCCAATGTGCTCTCTGTGAAAGCCTGAGAGAATGTTTTCTCTCCATGTGACTCTCCTTAGGCACTCTACATCATCGATCACTTTCCTCATAGTTACATTCTCTTAATGAATAGAGGGATTTGTTCTAATGGTGTTTGTAAACAGGATATCATGTCCGCATCTTGTACAGCAATTAACGACTAGGAAGAATGTATGCAAGTTGTTAACTATTGAATCTGTCCTACCAATTTCGTTTGAAACTGTCTCATTGCTATTTGTTTCTCAATAAAATTATAGGAAAAAATAATAAAAATGAAAACCTTATTTCTAAGACAGAAAACTGTATCACTTCACTAAAATAGTCAGAGAAGAAATCAGGCTTAAGTGGACTTCACTTCTTTATTTATAAGCTCATCTTGCAGGCTTTTTGACCTTTTTCACACAACACAAATTCATATCAAGTTGTACAATCTGTTACCTTGACAAGCTTATAATGACAAATCTTATTTTCCATCTTTGAACGGTGCTCCTAATTATTCCATTTAACATTGAGAGCAAGAATCTTGTGGCAGGGGAGGTGAGGAGTGCTTGTAGATGTGATCAGACTTGATTTAAGGAGTTTTGCTGTCAGAAGCTTTTGTATTTCTTCCAGGAGGAAAGGATTTAAAGTTATTCCTTAGGGGAGGTCATAACCAGATTGTGGGACATTGGTCCTTTTATTTTTTTAAAGATAAGTTTACCCAGGCCTATTGTGGAAGAAATTCCACTATCACCAAAATAGCACAAGAATAAAGAGCAAAGTGGTACTGTCTAGATGTCTCTAATCCTGTATAGCTTTCATCCAATTTTTAACTGGAACGTGTGAATGCACACAGAAAATGTAACTGTACACATGCACGTACATGCATATGTATACTTAGAGAATACTAATAATGACCTGAAAGAGCAGTCTTTCTAGTCCAAATTCTATGCTGCCTAATAACATCCACTCCCCTATTATTCCTTAAATGGTGGCAGAGAATTTTTTCATTGTGTACATTTTAGGGCAGAAAGTTTGTGCTGGTCTTATGATGTTTGGAGATTTTTTTCATGTATGTAAAGATTTAAATGTGGTCTTATTTAAGTGAGGCTTATGGATTAAAAAAAGACTTCTGATTCACTTTTCCAGTCCCCACTGGAATGACACAGCTTTCCAGAACAACAAAGGCAGACTGTGAAATGGCAGACTGTTTCTCTCATTTTCCTCAACTTAAAGCACTTAGTCTACAACCAAGAGAAGTGCTGAAGCTCCACCACCTACATTTTTTGAGTATTTGAGCAAGAAATGACTTGGTGGCCATGGGAAGACCATAGCATGTTGATACAGTGGCTTCACACTAAGTATTTATGCTGTGGCACACTTACTTCTAAAATCATAATTCTTAAGAAGCTTTAGTTTGTTTGCTTTGTTTTGTGTTTAGTGGCAGCTTGGTTTCCTTCCCCTTCCTTGCCTGTGTTCATGTGCGTATTTAATTTCATGACTCACCTCCCTTTCCAAGTTCAAGTGTACTTGATCCTTCATTGTGCCAGCTCCCAGGTTTACTAAGGTTCCCAGCAGCTGCAAATTGCTATGAGATTAATAGAATCTCACATCTTGGAGTCCAAATGCAGAGTTTTATGCTAACACGAAACAACTACTTATCAGAGACATGTAACATTCATGGAGCATATAAGAACATGTATGCTGGCAATTTAGTCTCTAAATTTTGCAACCTAATGCAAATGAACATTAAGCTTTGACATGTTGGGGACCTTGATATAATTATGCACTGGAATTAGAAGAATTATGAAACTGAATAAAGGAATACATACAACTACTTGGATCCATTACTGTACAAAATACAACTAGATGAATATTTTCCCTATTTCTAATTCTCATCAATGAAAATTACAGATTTAAAATAAAAACTTCTTGGTATCTCTCCTGGTGCTTCTCCTAGCAAGAGGAGCAGAAACTGTCACCAAGATTTCCACAACTGAGGATCATTATGGCTACAACATAATTAGAAGAAAAACCTCAAGAGGCAGAAGTACATTATAAACTGCATGACACATATACATCTTGCTATTAAAAGTTATAAATGTTTCCAAAATTTTTCCAAATGACTTATATTCATGAATAAATGTGACTTTCATTTGTTAAAGTGACATGAAAAAAAATTTAGCAATTTTTACTTCCAGATTTAGAAATACTATGCATTCGATCTACAGTGACTTTCTTTTTAAAATTCGATGTCTCTGCTTTATCTCTTCAATAGGAAAGTATCTCCCGCGTAGTTCAGACTTAATTTTCCCAGTTTCTGTTGGCTCCATTGGCCTCAGAGGAATGAAAAAGAAGAGTCCACATCCAGCACTCACTGTGAAGCTTTCTTAGTTGAGTTCATGGCGTTCAGTGCATGCTGCTCCACCTTGAAACCTTCAGCTCCGGACCGTCAAGTGGCGAGTGTGGAATTCCGAACCCCAAAGTCAGTGCTTGTTTCTGTCAGCATTGGCTTCTCCATTCAGAAGTGAAAAGCAGCAAGAACAGCAAAGGATTCAAAGACGAGGAACGAAAGCAGGTCAAAAACAAAAGGGTTGTGTCTTCCATGAGACAACATTCCCCACAAGGGAAAACCTAAGCTGCTGTTGCTTTAGTGAAGAATTTTTCATTTCCTTTTTTCTTTTTTTTAGGATGAAAGGTTGGAAAAAGTGGACCTTTGAGAGGAAATACTACAGACTTCTAAGTTGGTGAAGGAACTTCCAGCATCACTTGGATACTCAGGGTAAGAGGAACTGGAGGAGATGATATTTTTGAGCCTCTGGAGGGCAATGATTAACAGCAGAAGCAGAAAGGCTAAGAGGCTGAGGAAGATGGACACATAGACATAGACATTCGACAGGTGGCCGGAGGAAGGGTCCACTGACGTGGACAGTGATGTGGGATGCAGCTCAAGGAAAGTTCCGTTCTCCACATTTCCTGAAAATCCAGAGGCCGAGTCAGGCTCTGACATCTTTACAGAGGGTGAGAGATGAGCAAATGTATTATCCGTCAGATTTTCACAGAGAGGTTGAAGAAGGTAGAGCCACCACTGTGTTTTTCACCATGGCATCAGCAGAAGCTTCGGGCTGATAGGTATGCACAACCAAATCCTTGGTTTTTAAACAAAACCAGCAGCAGCAGATAGGGTACCCATCAAGACTGCAAAAATAAAAACAAAAGGGCATCTCAGGGCATTCTTCAGCACATACAACATTTCTATCCAGTTTTTAGTTTTTATTTCAGTAAGGCTTTACGTATAAAATTCACTAGGGAGGAAAAAGAATGAAATAACTCCCCCAGGAGTAAGTAATGTTTATGTCTTTATATTACAATTGATGATATAAAAATGAGCTTTTATTTTCCCTCCACAGTACCCAAGGTGCCAGGTTTCTCTGAGAAACTAAAGATAAAATGGGTTCCATCTGCTTTGATTTCAACAGATCTCAGTTTCTGAGCTGAGAACCCTAAAACTTCTAGCTGCGAACCTCTTTCCTTCAGAAAATTAATTCTACGCATCCTGCAGCTGGATAGCATCTCTCTCCACGGGTATTCCCCTCTGGCACATGTTGGAGAAGCCCTTGACATGCAAATATGTGTTTTGTTGAATGTTTGTAATTCAACTAAATTTTTTCATAAAAGTTTTATCTCTGTGAAATCAGGAGCCATTTTATGTGCTTCTTTTCTTTCAGTGTATCTAGGCAATTTGTTTTACATATTTTAGGCCTTGAATAAAAAATAGGGCTTTATATTGATTTAGAAAATGTCAGATTCATGAATAGCAGGGAATAGAATGTTTGCTCTCAAGAGCCTTAGCTTAAGGTCTGATTTTGCACCACCTTTGGGAAGTGGGGCACATTACCTTCATTTCCTGAGTTTCTGTTACCTGTCAAATGGATTGACTACTGCTCTACATCTTCACCAAGACAGTACACGTGGAAACACTCTGAAGTGTAAGGTTGAACCTAAATGAACTGTATGTGTGCACACATGTGTTTTAAGGAGATTCAACGGGGAATGCTTTTGGTTAGCTTGGTGCAAAGAAAGGCTTTTCACTATATTCAGGTATTATGGAAGCAGCTTGAGGGAAGGGAACCCTCCAGGTAGAACACTCCAGAACCTTCTTGAAGCCCAGAAAGGTTACTTTTCCTTGGTCCTTTTGGCACTAGATCATTTGACTGTAAGTTGCTACTTCTCAATTGAAGTGTACCGGTGAGAGCATGCCTGCTCTGCCCGGGTCTTCCTCTCTTAGACACTGCCAGGCATTTTTACCTTGAGAATTTGCCTTTTCCTTCTCTTCTCCAAATCTAATTAAGCAGCAAATTCTTTGAGTGGCTGACATTTGCCATCATGGCTGGAGCTGAGCAGTGCTAACAATCCTGAGGAGGAGAAAGCACCTCAGGGCTGTCCCTGTCAGGTGTCACACGAAGAAATGAGTCTCAGCTCTTCAGGGTGGGCCAGGCACAATGCCTTAGTAGTTCTTAAAATAATTTGACTCCTACTCCTCATTATGCTTTGCTTGGAGATTTCAGTTCCATTAAGCTCTTGTGGGCTTCTAGCAATGTCAAAAAAAAAAAAAAAAAAAAAATCAGTGCGACTGCCGATACACTACACTGCTACAGCAAACCTCGCTTTTCTCCAGCATGTAAATATTCCAGTCATTCACCTTTAGGGAATGTAGCAAAGCCTTTCTGAGCACGGTGCACAGAAAAAAAAGAACTAGAATAGAAACTTCACAGACTAAGAAAAGGATATTTAAAGTACACTGGTGCAACTAAAGTATGGCTGATGGCAACAGCCTGTAATTCTCACATTTGGGATGCTGAGGCAGGAGGATTCTAGATGTGATGCTAACCAAGGTTGCTTGGTGAGTCTGAGACCAGCCTGGGATGAGCGAGGCTGAACAGCAGAGAAGCTAACTGACTGGACAAGAATATCCTTTGTAAATAAAGTTAGAACAGGGCTGAAGGTTTCTGCCTCAGGCACTGACACCCTTTATATTACCTGGTTGCAACTTTCCTACCATCCTGGTAGTAAGGAAAGCACGTTACCCTTTTGTAGCATGGACAAAAAGGTAAAGACTATTCACCTTCCATTTTCCTCACAGCTAGGGCAGAGAAAGTGAACACTGTACCATTTTTCATATCATAAAACTGAGGTGCAAAAACACTGTGGATTTACTCAGTACGTACAGCTCGACAGTCGTGGAGAAGTAGTCAAAACCCATTTTGGAATCATGTTCTTAATTTTCTCCACTTTGTAGGAAGAGAAAAATGCTAAGACCTGGTTGGTCAGTTCTCTCTGCCGCTTACCTGGGGCAGCCATAGCTAATCTTAACAGTTCAATTTTCCTGTCTGCACAACAGTAGTAGTCATCTTTCCTGTGTCTCGAGAAGGCTGGAACAAATGTGATGCTGTTTATATAGCCCTGCTTAGAAAATCAGAAAAAGCCATCTCTGTAAAGTACCAGTAGCCTGGCAGTTTCTTTTGATTACTTAGAAAGACTTATGATGCTTCAAGGTCTCTGTAGTCCTACATTGTCAATTTGAGATTAGCAGATTACAGATTTGTAGAGGTCATAGAATGGCCCAGAATTGGCTGCCTTTTTAAAAGACTTCTCTCTGCACCCAAATCCACTCACATTTACTAGGGATGAGGCTGCGAGCACACACACAATGTCACTGCAATATCAGATAAATCCATGGTAAAGCTAACAGTTGGGTACCAGACAATCTGTTAAACTATTGTAGTGTGTGTGTGTGTGTGTGTGTGTGTGTGTGTGTGTGTGTGTTACAGAAGTTGAACCCAGGGCTTCACTCTGAGCTACACTGTCCACCCTTTTCATGTTCTTTATTTGAACATCAATCTGGTTTTGGACTGGAGCTTGTGATCATCATGCCTTAGCTTCCCAGAATGCTGGGATTCCAGATGTGGAAAATGGTGTCTCTTTCAAGGTACATATTCCTAGAGGCCTTTTCACTTTCTGAAGGTCATCTTCAGAAAATTTGGGCAAAACCTCTGATCTTCTAAATGGCCTTAGAAGAATGATAGAAAATGAACAAATGAAATCTTGTATCTTTATTTAATGTTTAATAATATTTTCTTTAAATTCCTGTCCTGAATATGATAAGCTGAATTATTGTTTCTAGAGTACGTCTTAATTTAAAATTATATCTACACAAATTTCTTGTCATTGTTCTACTCTGAAACAAATAGACTACATGCATTATTAGAAATTATTTTAATCTGGCATCATTACTTTTCTTTTTTTTTTCAGGTATTTGGTACAGGGTCTCACTATGCAGCTCGAACTCATAGTGACCCTCCTGTTTTCAGCCACCCCAGTGCTGGGATTACAGGAGTGCACCACCATGTCTGGACTCCATTGCTGGCTCAGCATGCCTGGGGCGTGGCCAGTGTGGCATGTGGTACCAGGGATTGAACCTCAAGTCCCTGCACTTGCCTAGGCAGGTGCTTAGTCTGCTGATCTATTTTACAGGCCCTGGCATCGTTACTTTTCATTTCCTTATTGAAGTTCAATAAAATCGGTGTATATCTTCCTCCTTTCTGGTCAGTATTTCACTTGGCAGTGAATGAATACTGCTCAGGATGAGCCCACACACGTGTTTAGGCTTTGTGGTGGGATATCAAATGTGTGTTGTTCAGGCTGATGCTTTTGGGCTGCTTCTTTCAGATAGATTTAAAGAAAAGAAAGAGACCTCATCTTAAATGCATAGTCTTGACCTGTCGCAAGGCAGTGGCACAAACGCACTTTCATATCCGTGATACCTGGAGCCAGGCAGGGATTTTGAAGCCTATTTTTTTTTTCCTGGGCCATGTTCAGAAAGTGATTTTTGTTTGAGAAAGGAAAATGAGATGGCTGGATCACAACATCATAAAGATGACCTGGGAATTGTTTTAGCTCATGATCACCAGCTGTCCCTTGTCTCTTAGGATGAAAACCTGGGGAGCAAAGTGGCCTACTGAATCGAGCACTGAGGGATGTAGCCCAGTGTGGGGGGGAGATGGAGCAAGCACACACGCAGGGCAGATCTTGTTCCCTGTCTGCTACCCCATGACCTTTCTGAAGAAAAAAGCTTATTTCGGACAGGATAGTGATGAGGATCACAATGTTTGTGCTGAAAGAACAAAAGTATACTCTTGTCCTGTGCCTCCACCCCTCTGGTGCTTCCAAAAGGCTTTCATCACAAAGTCCACAGACAGAAGTGCTTGGGATCTGCCACAGACAGACAGCCTGTGGGCTGAGCCTGAAGGCCTGGCTGGACTTCGGCAACACAGTGGTTTATAAAACTCAGCCTACCCGTTGGCCTCAAATGTGGCACAGAATGTGGGAATTTTGGCCTTTTATTCAAACACATCTCTGTGAATAACAGTACTTATAGGGTTTTGTTGTGGTGGAAAACTGGGGCAGACTGCTTTGTCCCCTTGCAGAGGTTCTTTAAAGGGTGACTCAGCTGTTGAAATCACAATTTTACCCCAGGGTTTCATCAGTGTGGCGTCCTTTTTGTTATATTCCAAGAGGAGGTTCCCCAAAACCACTAAGAATGGTGCTGTAAAGTGTCACCATGGTATACTTTTTCCAATAGACAGATGTAAAATTGAATAGTATAATGTAACCCATGCTTTTAGACAATGTCTTGGATCGCTTTCTCTGTGGAACACACAAAAACTCCCAGGGAACTCACCGCACCTGAGCAAAACTGTTTTGAGCTTTCTACAAAATAATATGCTTTACATAAAACCCTGTGGCCATTCCTTTGCATAATTATCTTCTCTTAATCTTTTCTGCCTTGGCTTTAGGTCATGCTAAAGGAGAGGAGACAGGTGCTGATGACGTTTTCCTTTTACTGCAGGCTCCGAAGGTAAATCTTTGCATGCACTTCTCCCTGGGCCTGCAATAATCACAATAAAATGTACTGTCTTACAAGTTATTCGTCTTGAAGATGATTCAGCCCTCTGTGTGTTTGCCTTCTTGAGAAATGCCCCTTACATAGCTGCACAATGCTTTGGGAGAGGAAGATTTTGGGTGGACTCTCATTATGATTCCTTCTATCAGCCCAGCAAAAAGCAAAACCAAGTTGAGGAAATAAAGTGCTTCTATCTGCTATCACACACTGAGACAGAAGGCCATATTCTGAGAAG